ATTATCGGTTATTTTTACCGGAAGTCGCTTTGTTCATTTATTTGGGTCCAGTTATATTGCTCGTTTTTATTTATTTTTATTTTATTTTATTTATTTTTTTTTGTTTCTTAATTTATTTATTTATTAACGTTAAAATTTGTTTATATCACGTATTTAACAGTTTTGTTTGGTTGTTTGTTCATTCTAACTATTAAGGAACAGTTTAAAAATTTGGGATTGGTTTGCTTATTTATTTACTTGGATGAAAAAAATTTTTATATTTTCTCTTTTGGTTTTCGGTTTTAAAAAACATAGTATTTAATTTTTTTTTATTATTATTATTAAATTTGTTTTATTTTATTTTTCCGTTTTTCATTTTATAGGTTGTAGTATAAAAATTCATTTTTGCCTGCATTTTGAGATGAGCTCGGATCTTTATTTAATAATTTACCAGCAATGATAGCTATTTTTTCCTCCAAGCAAAGTTTGCAAGTTTTTGATTGGTTGTTGTAGGCTATTGACTTTTTAATGAAAAGATATTTTTGGTGTGATGTGCGTTTTGTTTTTTATTTCCCAGATATACTTAGAAAAAAAACGTTCGCATATTTACTATTTGTGAACGATGTTTTGTGTATAATTTCCAGGGTCCTTCAGTTACTTATGTATTTTTTTTATGGTGATTTTATTCTTGGTATATTACGTTGTTTAATGGGCAATTTTTTAAGGGAATTCGTTATTTATTAGTTGCACGTGGGTTTAATTTGTTCGTGTGGTTTGTTGATAATTTTCTATTGTGCTTTTTTATTATTTGTGCCATGCTTTCTCGGTGCAGCTGTCCTGATTTTACTGTATTTTTGTTAAATATCAGTAGGTGCTTGATTCTGGGAAGTGTTTGTGTAAGAGTTTGAAGAATATTTTTTACGTTTGTTTTTACGTTCTTGCTGTACGGTGGGTTGAACCATATGATATTTCTTCTCCTGTTGGTCTTTTTTGTATTCTGTGGTGAGTATGTGAGTATTGCCTGAATCCGCTTATCTTTTTAGGGCCGTTTCATAGTCTTTTTTAGCTTTGTTAATAGGGATTCATCGGAGGAATTGTCGAGAGCCTGGTGGTTAATCGATTTTGGTATCTGTTTGATTATAGGACGGATAGTTGGAAGATGTGTATGTAGAGTGGTTTATCGTTAGGTTTTCGATGGTTTATATGTGCCTTCTCTTAGGTTGAAGGTCACATCTAGAAATCCCGTTTACCCGATATCCTGTCGAATCCGTTATTTTTAAAAATCTTTATTATTTTTCTAGTTTTGTCTGTGTTTTTGTTTGTTACAGTTTCTTAAGATTTGAGGCCGTCGTCCCGAGCCTTTTAATTATTCTCGGATGCCCCACATTAAATTCAACAGTGTCAAAATATCTTTTCTTTATCCATGCTTTCTTCATTGTGGAATAATAATGACATCTGACCGCGTTTTATTATTATTTGGGCTAAGTCGATGGCCTTAGATAGCATGTTCTGTTATAGATGGGTAAAATTCTTTTTGTCTAATTGTAGGAATTGGCAATTTTGTTTGTTATTTATGCTGTGGAACCAGTTGTAGTTGTTTTCGTATTTTTCCACTGGTTTTTTCTAATTTCTTCCTAAGTTCAGAATTAATTTTTTTCT